AATATTTAAATTATTGTATATGTTTATTTTTCTAACATAGTCATCATGGATATACTCAAACAGGTTAACTCAGGTTATTTCAGATTAAATGAATATATGTATCACAGGCAAGAGCAGACTAATCTGATTCCAAGCTTTTCTCTTTTTTAAATATTAAAGCTTTCATATCTCTATCATTCTATATCAGTGTGCCTTTCTGTACTCGGGCCCTGCTACAAGGTCGACATTTATAACATTGGGTGTTTTAAGTAAAGACGGACCTCTTATCATCCCTATTAGGTCAATTAGACAGTTTAATTATATTTTTTTCTACTAACTGAACACTTTTAGTATAAGTAAGACTTTTTTTTATATAGCACATTTCAGTAACAAAACAATTTGAATTGCTGCACATAACAAAATTGAATATGACAGCATAACATATAAAGTGCATTGCAGTGGCATGAAGGTAATTTAGATAAGATGATTATCAACAATCCACACAGTAAATACATACATCTTCTGTGTCTTTATCTGTCAGGCTCACAGTAGACAGGCCCCTGTCTCAGGCAGCCTATGGGTTAAAAGCAGGATACACGCTGGACAGATCACCACTATCAAAGGGAAACGCAGACAGAAAGCCATCCACACACACACACTAATACCTAAGTACAATTTCGAGAAGCCGATAGACCTAACAGTCATGTTTTTAGACTGTGGAAGTAAGGCAGAGAACTATAATAATTTTGCTTTCACAAGGAAAAACGTGCAAAACCAATGCAGAAAGAACGTAGGCTGGGAACCAACCCTAGAACCAAACACCAACCCACTGAATGAAAATTAATGATAAAAAGATTGACAAAAGGATGAAAGGACTACAAACCTCAATAATATTTGGATAGCTCAGTCAAAAGTCCATATTTAACAAATCCATAGAATTATAAAATCTTCTCAGATTTCAAGATATAAACCTCAAACTGAAAATCAGTTAAACAAATGAATGAATAACTTCTTGTTTGTTTGTTTTTTTATAATACAGTGAAGTAGATTTGAAATAGTAAATTGCAGACTCATGAATTTTAATTTTTTTAATGTTATGTTTTTTTTTCCTTTTTATGAAATGTCAGGCCAGTAGCTCCGTAATATCATAAGTGATAATATGATTTCAAGCACTGTGGGATTGCACACTGTCATTACCTGCCCTTCTGATGCTGAAGGAGGAGAAAGGGGCACAGTGTATTGTAGAACCGGTCTGAGCAAAATTGATAGAACATGTAGATACCTTTAGGATAATATAACACATTTAGAGTAGAATTGATTACTTTTTTTCAATTCAAATATTGACAAAAGCAAAAACTGACTAGCCAGAAATGATCATATGGGGCAGGCACAGGTGGGTTTAATGAGCTTGATTTTAATGAGTGTAAGTCA